CTGAGTAAGCTCTTTGGATTGTTCCAACGTCAATTTCCTGGTTTTGATATTGTATGTTAGTGACACAAGACACTGACGTTCTTACGGATCCCCGATTATTTCAAAATAAAGGGTTAAAAAAAATCTCTCTGCCCTCACTGAGCTTCATTCCACTGTGGACTTAGATGATAAATAAGTGATATGACAGGATGAGAGGTGTTAAGTATTACCAAGAAAAGCAGGGAATGGGGCTACAGACTGTTGGGGGGATGGTCTCTCTTAAATGGAGACATCTGAGCCTTGACTTGTAGGAGGCGAGGAGACCAGCCACGGGCTACCTGGGGAAATGGGAGTCCCAGGCAGAGAGAACACCTAGTACTAAGACTGTGAAGAGAACTGTGTCTAGTGTATGTAAGGAAGGGCAAGGAGGTCGGTGAGGCTTTAGCAAACTAAATGAGAGGTAGAGTAGCAGGTGGTTGGGTCAGAGAAGTAAGGTAGTCCAACCTTACTTATTTGCCACAGCAAATTCCTGTACTTTCTTTTATCAGGAGAGGGAGAGGGAGCCATTGAAGAGTGTTGAGCAGAGGAGTGAGGTGATCTGCCTTGGGTCTTGAAAGGGTCACTCCGAGCCGGAACAGAAGCAGAGAGACCAGTGAGGAGCCTTAAGATCATCTAGGTGAGAGCGGGTGGCTTGGACCTGTGAAGAGGTGATGAGAAGTCCTCAGATTCTGGATAAAATTTCAAAGTCAAGCTGACCAGATTTGCTGACAAACCAGATGCGGGATGTGAGAGAGAAGAGTGGAAGATAAATTTTGGCCTAAACCACGGGAAGAACGGAGGTGCCATTTGTTGTAATGGGGAGACTTTGAGTGACCCAGTTGGGGGGGGGGAAGATCAGGAGCTCTGCTGGGGACATATTAAGTTTGAGGTATCTATTAGACATCCAAGTGGCTGTTGGGAAGGCAGGAGTCAAGGAAGGTCCAGATATATGTTTGGGTATCATCAACCAAGAGTATTTAGAGCCATGATACTGGATGAAATCGCCAAAGGAGGGAGTATATATAGAAAAGAGAAGTCCAAAACGAAACATTGGGGCTCTCCAATGTTAAAAAGGAATTGAGATAAGGAAGAATAAGCAAAAGAAACTCAGAATGGGTAGCGTGCAAGGCAGAAGGAAAACCAGGTGGAACGAAGAGCACCCTACAAAGCTGTAAGAATTAAAAAGATGATTTCCCCTCCTCAGTACCTGTTCCCGGTGGCCCTGAGGGTGCGCAGGCCAAAGAGTAGGAGGCAGAGGGGAGCTGGTGTGTGGACCTAAGTACCGTAGAGGTGCACTCCTGGCAAGAACTGGGAGCAGGAGGAGGAGACCGCAGGAGCAGGCTCAGGACCAATGGCATCCAAAGAGTAACAAACAGTAAAAAAAATCTCAACGTGGAAAATGCCAACCAAGAAAACAAAATAAAACAAAAGGACGGAAAGGAGCAAGTTGCCAATAAAGGAGAGCCCTTGGCCCTCCCTTTGGAAGCTAGGTGAATACTGTGTGCCTAGAGTCAGTGGTCGGCGGTTCCCTGTTAGGCAGCCCAGCCTGCAGTATGGGTGGGCCCTGATTCAGAGGCTTGGAGAGCGACAGGTAAGGATGAGAGAAGAGAATATAGAAAGGACTGGGGAGAAGGGGAGACAGCCGAGGGAGAAGTTGAAGGGGGGTGGGGAGCAATTCAGTCACAGTCTGTGGGTGGTTAGCGCCGACCCTCCTTACCGTGACCATCATGATGAACACATCAAGATTCAAGACGTTCGCCTTATGTCTTGAATCTTGATGTGTTCCCTGAAGTGAACAAAGAGACACACCTGCTTCCTAAACTTACATGTTCTCAATGTATCCTTGTTGTAATCCTTTTGTTACATGTCTCCTGTGGGTCTCCTATTACTTCTCCCTCTGCCCCTCCCCCCCACTTGTGCATGTTCTCTCTCTCTCTCAAATGAATAAATTAAAATCTTTAAAAAAAAATAAAAAGGCAAAAAAAAAAAAAAAGATTTAAGGGCGCCTGGGTGGCTCAGTCGTTAAGCATCTACCTTCGGCTCAGGTCATGATCTCAGGGCCCTGGGATCGAGCCCCGCGTCGGGCTCCCTGCTCTGCAGGAAGCCTGCTTCTCCCTCTCCCTCTGCCTCTTCCCCAGCTTGTGCTCTCTCTCTCTCTCAAATAAATAAAATCTTTTTTTTTAAAAGGATGATTTATATAAGCTCTTAGCAGTGTCAATCACACCTTAAACTTGAGGTAAATAGTAGCTATGATGATGATGATGATGATGATGATAATTTAGCAACTAAAGGTTTATCTGCTGCTCTTTGGGCCACCAAAAAGAAAATATTGGCTCTCAAATAAACAGTAAAAATCTAGGTTAAGAAGCCTGAAGTCTCACTTCAATTAAATGTAAAATTATCTGGATGATGAAAAAAATTTATCTGGATGACAGTCTGAATTTAAAAACTGGATGGGGGGGCGCCTGGGTGGCTCAGTTGTTAAGCGTCTGCCTTCGGCTCGGGTCATGATCCCAGGGTCCTGGGATCGAGCCCCGCATCGGGCTCCCTGCTCAGCAGGAAGCCTGCTTCTCCCTCTCCCACTCCCCCTGCTTGTGTTCCCTCTCTCGCTGTGTCTCCTCTCTCGCTGTGTCTCTCTGTCAAATAAATAAAATCTTTAAAAAATAAAAAAAATAAAAAAATAAAAACTGGATGGGATTAAAGTAACTAAACATTTGCTGTTAAAAAATGCTTATTAAGTTGGGCTCAAGCTTCCTATTGTTTGTATATTTCCTCTCTAGACCTAAGGCACCAGCATCCAGTTGCTCAAGACAGAAACTTGGAGACCAAGTCCTGTTAATGTCACAATCTTCTCTTGATTTTATTTCTTCTTATTCAACATCCTGGGGACTACTTGACTTCGGGCCACCCAACGTGGGGCTTGAACTCCCAACACCAAGATCAAGAGTCGCATGCTCTACCAATTGAGCCAGCCAGGCGCCCCATGGGCCATCATTTCTTGCCCAGACTATTTCCAAAGTCTCCTACTAGTTTTTTTGTTCTACCATCTGTCACGATATGCCAATACAGGGATTCCTAACCATTTTTGTGCCATGGAATCCTTTGGCAGTCTAATGAAGTTTATTTTCAGAATGTTTTTAAACGCATAAAACAAAGTACAAAGGATTACAAAAAAAAAAAACAATTACACTGCAATACAGTTATCAAAATATTTTCTAAAAGGAATGTGTGCTGTAGTAACTTACGAGCTTCTTTTTTTTTTTTAAAGATTTTATTTATTTATTTGAGAGAGAGAATGAGATAGAGAGAGAGAGCATGAGAGGGGGGAGGGTCAGAGGGAGGAGCAGACTCCCCGCTGAGCAGGGAGCACGATGCGGGACTGGATCATGACCTGAGCCGAAGGCAGTTGCTTAACCAACTGAGCCACCCAGGTGCCCCACTTATGAGCTTCTTAACACAGTTCTCCTTAGGGGTCTAATAACTACAGTTGACCCTTGAACAACACAGGGGTTAGGGGTGTCAACCTAGCATAGTAGGAAATCTGCATGTAACTTTTGACTCCCCCAAAACTTAATAGCCTACCGCTGACCGGAAGCCTTACGGATAACATAAACAGTTGGTTGATACATATCCTATACAGTATACATATTATATACTGTATCCTTACAACAAAGTAAGCTAGAGAAAAGGTTATTAAGAAAATCATGAGGGGGCAACTGGGTGGCTCTCAGTCAGTTTGATTTCGGCTCAGGTCATGATCTCAGGTTTGTGAGATCAAGCCCTCTGATGGGCTCCGTGCTGGGCCTGGAGCCTGGTTAAGATTCTCTCTCCTTCCTTCTCTCTCTGCACATCTGCTCCCCTCTCCTGCTCTCTCTCTCAAAAAAAAAAGGGGGGGGCGCCTGGGTGGCTCAGTCAGTTAAGCATCTATCTGCCTTCCGCTCAGGTCATGATCCCATGGTCCTGGGATCGAGCCCCACATTGGGCTCCCTGTTCAATGGGGAGCCTGCTTCTCCCTCTCCCTCTGCGGCTCCCCCTGCTTGTGCTCTCTCTGTCAAATAAATAAATAAAATCTTAAAAAAAAAAAAAAAGAAAATCATAAGGAAAACACATTTATAATATTGTACTGTATTAATCGAAAAAATCCACCTATAAGTGGACCCATGCAGTTCAAACCCATGTTGTTCAAGGGTCAACTGTACTGTAATTTCAAAGAAGTGATGAATGTATAAATGATATTTCAAGACGTCTGCGTCAACTGCAGTGTGATATGAAACCATCTTTGATTTCTATTGGTGACAAAGTCATAGGTACTGTTAATGCCACTACAGTTTGCTGCTTACGTTTGTAAATAAAGAGAGCACTAAATTTCAGACAGTTCGATAAAAACGAAGTTGTGATTTTTTTTCCGCATCCAAGTTCATGTATTCTGTGAGTTCTATACATGGACCATTTGGACCATTAAAAACCCTTACCTTAATCTACTGGTGCAAAAACTGCTTCAGGTGACTGCAAAGATACAGAGAGGTTTTTGTTTTTAAATGTGGAGAAGAAAAACATGAAAACGGGGATCATTAACATCCAAAACGTATGCCATTAATTCCTATACATTTTTGCAAAGTGGGCTAGAAGCCTGGGATTCCTAGCAGCCAAGGAAAAGGTTGTCCCGAACTTTCTCAGCTTAGACCTCGATTAGCCACCTCTTGCCTAGGCTTACCGGACCCTCCTAGCGCAGCCCCCGCCGCCCTCTCCTGCTTCCTCCAGCATCACCATCCCTTCCCGTCCAGCACGGCCCAGCCAGGTCGGAACGACTTCTCGAGGTCGAGACAGGACCGAGACGGGCGCCGCCGGCCCACCCCTGCGGAGGTTAGCCCTCGGGCCACTCCCTCCGGAGCCCAGGCCCGAAGTCCCTTGCACTCGGACGTGACGTCTCCGCTGCCCGTCCTGGGAGTCAGCCCCGCCCGCTCGGCTCCCGCTGCCTTCGGGAAGGGTTACCACTTCGGGATCTACCGCGGGCTGGGTGCCTCACCCACGAAGCACGGCGCCCGTGGCACACTGACCGGCTCCTGAGGGACGCACTTACGGAAGCGCTGCAAAGCCAATTCCATTTCTCCCGGACGGTCCGGTTTGCCAAGTTCCCACAGGAGCGCGGGCGCGCGCGGGGGGCGGAGTGGGGGCCGCCACCCGCGGCCTTGGGCCTCTGGCACAATCTTCTAAGCTCCGCCCTCGGCGGCGTCTCCTAAATACGTCCTTCCGCCCTCTTCCTCCTCTCTCTTTTTCGCCGCCATCCTGCTCTGCGTGGCTGGCTGCTTCTCGCCATGGTAAGTGCATCCGTTACCATCGGCTCCGGGGTGGTTTCCCGAGACCTGAGGCCCCTGCGAGCTCGCTGGCGCCGCACACTGCGTCGAGGTGCGGGCGCCTTTTAGAAGCCTTTTTCCAGGGAAGGTCGAGTTCGGCCACCGCTCCGGTCCGCGGGCCTAGCGGGGAGCTAGCAGGCGTTCGAGGAGGGGCCGGCTGAGCTGGCCGTGCGAGGTCGGAGGGGTGGTGCTTTGTGCGCCGCCCAGGCTAGCAGGGGTTCCCGCTGCCCTTCGCTCTTCTGGAGCGAACTGTGATTCTGGGGCAGGGAGAGAAGTCGGGGAGGGGGGGGGGTCCACTGCAGAAACCGTGGCCGCCACGCGCGCCGGGCATCGAGAAGGGAATGGGGTCTGCTGGTTTTCGGAAGATTTTTTTAAGTTGGCGGCCAGGATCACACCACGTTATGAGCTTACAGAACTTGTTAGTCCTTTGTTAGGGACTTGGGCATCTCCCCGTGGAAGCACCTGGAAGGAGGGGTGCTGCGGTGTGGATCAATATGCCATTCGGGCGTTCTTCGTAAAATGCAAGCTGCGGACAGTTATGGTCGTGGGTTTTAACCTGTGATCGTTTTCTGAGAAATTAAAATTGCTATATGCTTCTAGGTGTGGAGAGGATCGGTATCTGGTTTTTTTAGTTGGCAGGAAATTTACAACTGCTACGGTGAGCTGGGAGAGAGGAGTGTAGTCTTCGCCTTCTTTGTAATGGGCCCCTATTATGCAAGGTGCAAGGGTGTGTCGGACCACGTTGGCCAGGCTTGAGACTACCTGCCATTTCTGGGTTGTCCCCCAAACTTGAGCGGGAGTGGCTGGGGTTGGACTTGGATGACCCAAGTTCTTAAAACCAAAAAATGAAATGAGAAATTGGGAAAGTCGTCCTTGAAAACGATATTTTAAGTACAGGAGAATTTATACCAAAATGGTCAGTGATGGGGGTGCCTGGGTGGCTCGGTTGTTCAAGCGGCCCAGTCTTTGATTTCGGCTCCGGTCATGATCTCAGGGTCCTGGGATCCAGGCCTGCATCTGGCTCCGCCCTCAACGGGGAATCGGCTCCGCTGGGGAACTGTCTCTCCTGCCCCTCCCCCTCGCTCTGGCGCACGCGCTCTCCATGTCGTTAGCTACCCCTGTTTTACATAGTGCGCCGAGACTCATTGACTCGCAAGTGCTAGATTGTTCTGGTTGACAAAAAGCTGGGTTCTTTTGTGAAAACCAAGTTCCCCAGCCATCCCCAGTGGTCCGCTGGGTCCTGGGGTGACAGCAGGGAAGGGAAGATGGGAAGGTACCCTAGCCTTGGAAGCATAGATGACCTGGGTTTGAATCCCAGCTCTGCGCATTAGTAGTAGGTTACTTACTTGCCTGACTTTTATCGCTGATTTTTATTCGAACAATGGGGATTATGGTATCTGCCTCCAGAAGTTGTGAGGAACAGCAAAGGGCATGATGGGTTTGGCATTGAGGTTGTTCTTGGTATAGATGAAGCATTCAAATGTTTGTGGATTGAGGGCGTTCCTGACTTCGGATCAGTGGAGCAAGCTCTGGTGCTGCTGTCTAAATTGATTACGTTTCCTTCCTAGTCTTCTCACAAGACTTTCAGAATCAAGCGATTCCTGGCCAAGAAACAAAAGCAGAATCGTCCCATTCCCCAGTGGATTCGGATGAAAACTGGTAATAAGATCAGGTAAGGACCCCCACAACCACCTGCTTGTTTTTGTGGTTGCTACTTTATTTTTTTAATTAATTAATTTATTTTTTGGTGGGCAGCAAAGCAAGGTTTATCGGGCGATAGCGAAGTGATAGTACGAAGCTTCCGAGGAGGGAGGGGACCCGAGAGGATTGCCCTGTGGTGGTTCTTTTAACGCGCTTCCTCAGTGTTTCTGGACAGCAGCCCAGCATTGGCTCCCTTTTGCAAGATAGAGACTTTGAAGCTGAGGAGTGCAAGACCCTGACACCAGTATAGAACTCTTGATTTGATTGAATTACAGATCTAAGTGGGATTAGTTTGCTGGTGTGAAGACTAAGATGTGAATTGGGGGCCTGTTTCCTTAATTCTTTTAGCCAGTTAAAAACACAGGTGAAAATCACCACACGCTGTCGCCTTACAGGCCAGTTAGTTGCTGCCTTTAGTTTATCCTATACTGAACACTGGCTTTTATTATTTATATTAATATGTATAGGAGATGTCTCACTGTTAGAAGTGCAATGAGATCTTAAAACCCCTGGTGTTGCCTCATAACAATACTGAGAAAAGAGCATTGAGTCACTTGGCAAAATGGTTACTTTGGAGCTCAGCCCTTGTACGAGCTTGATGAGTTTCTCTTGAGAACCTCAGACATCATAGTAATGCCCCTTTTTAATGTGTTGACATGAACATAGGCTTCTGTGTCACATCCCCATCTGGTGGTGGGACTTACCGTTCCCGGGTTATTGTGCGCAATGAAAGTGTATGGTGAAGAGTATACACTCAGCCCGGAGAACTGGCAACAATTGATTTTTCTATTACCTCAGCTGTCTTGCAACTTTTTGAAGTTACTGAAAGCAGGTTGCAATTACAGTGCTTCCTTCTGTGGAAGTACTGACATTATCCTGCTGAAAGAAAATCTGTCAGTCATGTTTGATTTTGCCTTAATGAGGGTAAAGTCGTGACCGACTGACATGGACAATTCTGAGGTGGCCTTAGCTCTACAAAGCTCTTGCTTTGATTTTGAAATGATTGGGTGTGTTAATCTCTTGTAAAATTTAGTGTGGGGGCTTTTATATGTGTGTGACCCATGATGTAGATAGGTTGATTTTGATGAAGTTTAGAAGGGGGGGTTCAATGGAAATGTGTCTGGGTCTACCCCCCAGGTGTGTTGAATCAAAAGCAGGTGGGTGTACTCTTGGGAGGGGAGGGAGCTTCCCCACCCGTCCTGTCTCGATTAAGAACCAGTGTGTTTTCCTAGCCTGGAATCATTTTGAGGTAAAAATTTGATTTGACGAGTTCTTAAACACATCTAGCAAATCACTTTTTACTCTCTAAAGAGAGCTCCAAACCTGTTAAAGGAAGGAAAAATGGGACCCTTTGCCTTCCAAGGATTTTATGGTACTGACAAGGCAGAGTTTGTGGTGAATGAAGGCAGCGAAACTGAGGTCAGACCGCCTTTGTAACCTGCAGTTTCTTTCTGTGCAGGTACAACTCCAAAAGGAGGCACTGGAGAAGAACCAAGCTGGGTCTGTAAGGCGTCACACGTCATGAGATGACACCCCTAATTGGCATACATATTTAATTAAGCTGCGTGAAGATCATGTGTTCTGTCATTCTGTAAACATCCTTCCTACCTGGCCATAGACTTGTCTTATCATGGAAATGATTTTTCTCTCTTGACTATGCCCCTGCACCAGTAGGTTGGTTCAGTAATAAATGTGAGACCTCTCGGCTCTACTACTATTGTGTTTCTGATTTGCAAAGTACTGAATTCCCCACCTGTCAGATCATGCACAGCACTGTCAGAACTTCCTGCAGTGATAGAAATGTCCCTTGACAAGCAAGTATGTAAAGTGTGGCTAGGGGGTGCCTGGGTGGCTCAGTGCCTTAGGCCCAGGTCATGATCTTAGGGTCCTGAGATGGGGCTCCCCACTGAGCAGGGTATCTGCTTGCCCCTCCCCTGGCTCGAGCTCTCTCTTCTCAAATAAATAAAATCTTAAAAAAAAAAAAAAAAAAGTGTGGTGAGTTTGAGTAAAGAACGGACTTGAATTTTTATTTAATTTTAATTAAGAAGCTCCCTGTGGCTAATGGCTCTTAACACCTTATGGGAAGTGAGTATGTGTGTCCTCATACCTCTGGGTAGCACATTCTTTTTTTTTTTTTTTTTAATTTTTTATTGTTATATTAATCACCATATATTACATCATTAGTTTTTGGTGCAGTGTTCCATGATTCATTGTTTGTTCATAATGGGTAGCACATTCTTAAATAGCATCTTTAGCTGCTGTTCTGTAACGCCAGTCTTCTTACAAGTCTATATTTGTAAAAAAATCTACAACTAAAGCTAATTTGATTTTTAAAATCAAAGTTCATTTAGTGATAATGTACAGTTTATAATAAAATTGTAAAATACAGTTGATGGTTGAAACAATATCATTCATGTAAAAACATTGCATGTAAAATTAGAAAGTTCATAGCTCACAAAATTATATATATTTTGCTGGTAGCTCATGAGAACGTTACAGTAAGTTTACTCAGGATACAGAACAAAATTCACAGGCTTGACATTAGTACTGTAAGGTTTTACACTGAATCCATTGACATTTCTGTTAAGGTACACTTGAAATAATTGATTCAGACTACCAATGAACTGACATTTTATTGTATACCAAGATCTATTGGTTTTACAATATGGCTAGTAATCAGTTATTTCACCAATAATTTAAATGAGAGATCTAGTTTTAACACCACTGACATCCACCCTTAGGATAACTAAAATGCACTAGCAGCTTTGATTTTCATTTTCATGAATACATACAAATCTGTACTTTTATAGTTAAAATTTGTACGAAAAGTCAAGCTCTGAAGTATTTTACCCCCAAGAGAAAAGTTCAGATGTTAAAACATTGTTAAAAAAACAAAAAGTAGTATGTGAAAGGATTTTTACTTACTGTTGAACCCCTGCACCACTTAATAAATGAAATTTAACCTACGTGTTAACATTTTGCCGTTCTAGAGTCAAATTTCTATACCTCACAAGGTTAAAGCCGGAATGCCATTAACGAATAGCGGTATAGAAGAGGAAGGACTTGGTGAATTCAACAAAAAAGTACATTGTATTACATAACGTGCAGTTGATAGTTCAGTGGTAATCTAGTGGTAACGTGAACAAAGTATTCTAAGTGACCTTCAAGACTTCCTTGTATCTTTACCATGAGAGAAAATAGCACTTAATTGTTTCCGTAGCATGCAACTGTTAAAAGGTACCCATTCTAGCCCTACCATGAAATTAGTAACTCCGAGAAGTAGCCATAAGCCACAGGAAACTTAGGCCTGCTGCAGTGCTCGTGCATGTTGTACAGGGAAATCAGGCGAGGAATAGAAGTCAGCAAGCAGCCTTACCCTTTGCTTAATTCTAAGTGGGTGCGTTGGAAAGTAATAAATAGCCTCATAAAATAAATGGCAATAAACTCTACCTGTCCAAGGTGAATATATTTTTTTCATAAAGTGTAGGCAGTGTTCCTAGAAATCCCATTAGGGAAAAACCAAATACTATAGAAAAGTGGCCAAGTTTGTCCTGTGTGTAAAAGTCTCTGGGTGTGTTTTATAATCCAAAATGATTCATACTACTCAAATACATTAGCAGAGTATAAAAGCACACCAACAACAAAAGGAATGATTTCCAATGAGATGGGAATGAGGATTAGAGGAGATTAAGGGAGTCTTATATATTACCAGTTGATGGAACTGCCTTTTGTGTCATTAGTTAGACACATGGAATGAGTCTGTAAATGTGACATAGGAAGAACAAGCTTTGAACTTGAACAATGTTACAGGTTCTTAATTCAGGAGCATGGCTTCAATGCTTTATGACATAGGAAGCAACTCCTCCAAACAGGCAATTGGTTTGATTTCTTAGATACTAGGGGAAAAAAAAAAAAAAAACCAGCACTAAAAATATTACTTGTGGGATGCTTGGGTGGCTTGGTTAAGTGTCTGCCTTCGGCTCAGGTCGTGATCCCGGGGTCCTGGGATCGAGTCCCACGTCAGGCTCCTTACTCAGGGAGTCTGCTTCTCCCTCTGCCTGCCGCTCCCCCTGCTTGTGTGCTCTCTCTCTCTCTCTGACAAATAAATAAAATCTTAAAAAGAAAAGAAAATATTACTTGTAACAATTAGCAACAGAGGAACAACATTAAAAAATCAAAATAAAATACAGGGAACATAGGAGCTGAGGTCCCCAAGGTACCAAAGGACAGAATCAGACTTCTTCACATTAGAATTTTTAAAAAATACAGTTAAAGGAAAAGCTAACTGGGCTCCGCACAGCAGGTTAAATACACAGCAACTTCGAACGGAAGTGATCTGGTCCTCTCATAGTTATGAGAATGTGCGCTAACATCCAGTGCCCTAGAGACAAAAATAGCAAAAGCACAGGGCGCCTGGGCGGCTCAGATGGTTAAGCATCTGCCTTCGGCTCAGGTCATGGTCCCAGGGTCCTGGGGTCGAGCCCCGCATCGGGCTCCCTGCTCGGCGGGAAGCCTGCTTCTCCCTCTCCCACTCCCCCTGCTTGTGTTCCCTCTCTCGCTGTGTCTCTCTCTGTCAAATAAATAAATAAAATCTTAAAAAAAAAAAAAAAAGACTCTTCCCTGAAACTTCTATGCCGTTAACTTCTAAAATTTCATCATTAACAGCTAATAATCCTGTGCTTTGAGCCAGATTTGGTCTGGATATAAAAATCCCTGGGACCTTCTCTAAGCCATGCTGTATGACCCTGACAGTGGAGCCATCCCGGATGTAGAACCCTAAGGGTTTCTCAGTGCGGTATTTGTCAAAAGACGAACCCTACGATGTGTTTCTGGGAGAATATCCACATCTGTAATAGAAGACACAGGTGTGAAGTCTTGGGGCATACTGGTGACTATATGTGGCTTTTTTCAATGGTTGTCAGGACGCAATAGATTGGTTGAAAACATTTTTCTTCTTTATTAGTGTGTCTGTACCAAAGGCACTGGAGTCTGCTTCTCCCTTTTTTTTTTTTTTTTTTGGTATAAAAATCCTAAGCTAGTGGATTGGCCATTGAAAGAGCTTTGTGATAATTATCATCATTATAGGTAGTAAGTCTCCATGGATGTCTGTGTAGCCTACTAAAACGTCAATGTTGGGTATCTTCTGAACATGTCGCAGTAATCCGTAAAACCCAAATTTTCCAGGTTTTGATCTGTCCAGTGAAAACCAACAAAATTCAGCTCCAAACTTGCTCTTCCCCTCCATGGTGTCCAGGCAGCTGCTGGCCGGCCCGTGCCAGTGGCTGTGGTTCATGCTGAGGCCCGGCCGCCCCTCGGGAGCGCAGGGAGCAGGGAGTGAGTGCAAGGCCCGCGGGTTGGGGACGCGGCACCTGCGGAGGGGCGGCCTGGGCTCGGGTCTCTGCGCAGAGCTCCGCTCAGGGGGCTCCTCACGCGGCAGGACCGAGGGTCAGACTAATGCCCGTCTTCAATACAAGTAGGAATCCTCTGATCCAGGGGTTATCAAACTGGTCTGCCTGGTCTTGTAGAGCCTGTGAACTAAATTTCTGCATCTTTAAATTGTTGAGAGAAATCGAAAGACCATTTTGGCATTTACTAAATTTAGATTTACTGGGCATTGATGTGTCAGGCACCGTTCCCTAATTACCTGTGGAATGAAGGTGAAACTATAGCAAGAGAAAAGGAGGGGAATCAAGTTTGGTGGCAACCTCGTATCTAGTTTGTAGGGACCCCATGCTGGGCATAGCAGAGGCAGCAAGTGGTAGGGGTGGCATGGCACCAGGGGTCCCTAACCTAGGACCCCGTTAGCAGGCTCTGATGACCATAATCCTTAAGGACCAGGGTTGGCCAGAAATCGGAAGAGTGGGCTACAGAATACCAACTAGCCAGCCTGGGAAGCTGGGACCTGCGGCTGTGTGGCTAGCAGTAAGCGTTGGCCTGCTATAGATGCTCTCCCGGGCCAAAGCGGAGGGACTTGGTCTAATTGGCAGCCATGTGATGTGATGTTTTGGAGCCTTAAAAATACCTTAGCCTCACTCTTCAGGGGAGGTTGGCACAGGGCGAAGGTGGCACTGATGCAGAGGGAGCTTTCCTACAGACCTTACATAGGTAGTATTAGAAATGAGAGGGGAGGGGCGCCTGGGGGGCTCAGTCGTTAAGCATCTGTCTTCGGTTCAGGTCAGGATCCCAGGGTCCTGGGATCGAGCCCCGCATCGGGCTCCCTGCTCCGTAGGCAGCCTGCTTCTCCCTCTCCACCGCTTGTGCTCTGTCTCAAATGAATAAATAAAATCTTTAAACAAAAAGAAGAGGGAGACTTAGCCAAAATCATACCTACCTTGGGTTTGTAAGGACTGAAAATGTCTGTAAAAGATCAGTTGTACGAGGTGTTCTCGCATTGTACAGATTCAAGAAGGCTCTGCAGCTTTCATTCCTGCTAAGAATAGCAACTAGCATTTTGAGTGCTTAAGCTGCCCAGGTAGCTGCTGTTAGCAGGAGTGGCGATGAGACCCAGATGGAACAGAGTGAAATATTAACCACGTACCCTTCACTGAACCTGTTCCATTCCAGAGAAGTGAACATCAAACCCCTGCCCACATAAAACCCTAATGGGTGTTTGGGCAGCCAGAGACGAGTATGACCTGCAAGAGTACTGTGGTCAAGGCCACGTGCACCTGTGTATGTGTCTGTGTCCATCATATGTGCATGTCTGGGAAC